GTTTTCATGCAGAAGAAATTCATTTTATGCTTTCGTTAGCCATTACTGATTGATTTCCGTGGGACTGAAGAATGATGTAGCGTTTCTAAATTCCACCAAGATCTGGAGAACCATGATGTAGCCAAGTAGGTCAAGCATTTGTCTTTCTTGTTGGAAGCCCCACCTAAATCTCCTAAACCTCAGGAGATTAGAAGAAGAAAGAACTATTTCACAAACATCTGTTGGTTTTAGCGTTGTCTCTCCCTCGATCTTGCTTTTATATTGCTCAGGACGTTTTGAGATTCATTTGTGCAGGGGGAATTATTTATTTATTTGCTGGACTCATTTTTCTGGCTGTCCAATCCACAGCGACCCCTAAGACAATTACCGAAACAACTAAGAAGAAGAATTAAAAAAGAGGAAGGGACCCTATATTAAATGCAATTGTAATCATGGTGTGAAAGTCCAGACCTGGAGTTTTGGTGTTTCTGGAGGAGCTGAATTATTTTTTTTTTAAATCGCCAATTTCCCAATGGGAGAACTTTGCTGTCACCTGGATGAGGACACCTGCATTTCTCCTTTAGGATGGGAACAGCAGACAGGCAGGGGCTAGACTTCTCTGCAACATTTCTTTTTCCTCCCCCTTGTTTTGCCTCTCCTGTTCACAAGACCTTTGGGTCCAGCTGCTTTCTCCCCTTATTATTTGGGTCTGCCTTCCCTTCCTGCTGCCTGTTTCTTCCTGTGTTCCATTCTCAGCTGTCCGGTCTTTCCCTACAGATGCTCTCCTGGCTGATCTGGAGACGACCACCTCCCATATCTCCAAACGCCCAGTTCTACTCACCGATTCCGGGGGAGCCGTAAACCAAGACAGGGCTCCAGTTTCCAAGCCGGCAACGTCATCGTACAACTCTCAGCAGCAGGTGGGCTGGAAGAAGTGGAAGACGACTGCATAAGCTGGCTTGTTCAGTCCAGCCCAGTGTTTTTCAAACTTGGCAACTTGAAGATGTTTGGACTTCAGCTCCCAGAATTCCCCAGCCAGCATGGTCCTCCTGACTGGGAATTCTGGCTGGCTGGGAATTCTGGGAGTTGAAGTCCACACATCTTAAAGTTGCCAAGTTCAAAAAAAACACTGGGCTAGCCACTTAAAGTGCTGGAACAGGGGTGAAATGAATTCTGGGAGCAATGGCTGAAATTAATAGCATCGTCATGGCTACTTGCTCCTAGTTTGTCAGTGCAATGGGCTAGCCTGTCTTCCTAGGCAGAAAGCCTTTATCCCCCTAAAATAACTTTGTAAAAGGCAGAAATCAACTGGTGAAGCTTTCTGAGGCCCTAAGATGAAGTGGCAAAAAGTTTCACTTTTTCATTTCCACCCGCCAGCGTCTTTTCAGGACATCGAGCCCTTGTTCTAGTAAAAGAAAAGATGGTCACTGTGATTTCATTGCGGTATCACTAATCCTTTTCTAGCTAAAAGCTCCATCAGCACTGATATCATGCTATCAGGAGAAATAAATAGCTGCTCCTGCTTACATAAGGATTATTCTGGGTGTAAAACCATCCTGTGAGGTTGGAGGGAGACAATAGATTTGTGGTTTTGCAAATACTGTATGTATCTGAAATGGGAACCGTGGGATTTTTTATTCTCCCTCAGTTCAGATGGGCTTGCCTTACTCTTTGCAACACATTTGGTAGACTCTGTGGTCAGTGACTTCAATGCTATTTCAGTAACCTTCGAACTTACTCCTCCTCGTTTCTCTCAAGTGGCTTTTTTTTTTTTTTTTAAATCTGTTTATTCAGTGCAATGTCCTTTTGTCTCTCTGTAAAGGACAGCATCCCAAGTCATTTCCAAAAAATATAAAACTTCGTTTGGGAGGAGATGCATTAATTCTTTAGTTTCCAGCCTTTTGGCTCCATGCTAGAATCAGTTTCGGTACAAATTCACCAGACTTGTTTTCCCTCAGTGGGAGAGAAAGTAATTTCTCTAACAAAATGCAGAGAACACAACTCCATTTGTGGGTGTTTGTCTGCATCTCAACAGATCCAAATGGGATTTGAGCCCAATTTTCCTTTCTGTGATGTGTGTACACACATTTTTGGTCCAGTTGCCCATTTATGGTCAAACAGGTTTTTACATAAGCCAACAAAAACTTTTAGGAACCAACTTCAGATGTTTTCTGCCTCCAGGCACAAAGGACATAATATTCTATCTCTGGAGCCCAAATTTTACTGCAACTCTCATTGGTGTCTGGTAGAAGCCCCAGTGACATCATAGCGTCATGCTATCATCACATAACTGATGTCATGATACAGATGACATCACACACACACACACACACCGTAGGCACTTGTGGCAATTCTGCTGATGGAATTGGTCTTGTAGGCCTACCCTGTGGATGTGTGACCCACCCAGCTTTAGATTTCAAGAGAAGAAAACATCTAGAGAGTTTAGAGCAATGTTTTTCAACCTGGGCAACTTTAAGATGTGTGGACTTCAATTTTCCAAGTCTTCTGCTGCTCTTTGCCTTGAAGTCACATTATTCAGGCCCATAACACTGAAATTCATATTTGCCTGGTGGGTCCATTTATCTATCTATCTGTCTATCTGTCTATCTGTCTATCTATCTATCTATCTGTCTGTCTGTCTGTCTGTCCGTCCGTCCGTCCATCCATCCATCCATCCATCCATCCATCCATCCATCCATCCATCCATCACATTTACGTGGCTGCTGATCTCACAGCTCTTCTTTCTACTCTGTAAGTTGCATCGTCTCATTTCTCTCTGTCTCAGGCCGGAAAAGCAGCCATGCCAGCAGATCCAATCCCAACATCAACCCTGCAAGGCGGGAGTGACAAGGAGCATCTGTATAGGTAAACCGTAGGGCATTGTATGAATGGGGAAAGGCGTAGATGTGCTGGTGGGTATCTTTAATGCGTGTGGGTATCGTTCTCTTGGTTTCATTTTGTTTAGCATGGCAGAAAAAGATCCTGAAATATAAAAGCACAGAAATAACTGCATCTAACAACTCTTGACTAATCCCTGGAATTCTAAGCATACTTGTTAGTAGTCGGATGGGAGACCACTAGGGAATCCCAAAGGTCAGAGTAGATTTAGAGGTTGAAAAGCACCCCTAAAAGAAAAAGACACTGACAGACCACTTCATGCTGTTGCCAAGATCATTGTGAGGTCCCCAGGGATCAAGCTTGTTAAAAGGGATCCTTTATTTTTCCTATACAGAGGAAAACCATCTGGTGGAGGTTAGGGGGTGAAAAGGATAGAGAGGAACAGAGATGATGATGATGATGATGATGATGATGATGATGATGATGATGATGATGGTGTGGACGATGTGCTGTGGGGAAGAGGCAGAAGTGTGAAGTCCCTCCAGTGCTCTGCAGGGCTGGTGTGTTCTTATAAAGAAAGGCAGACCGTGTTTTTAAGGTTTGTGCTCCCACTGATGGAAGCAGTGTAAGCAGCTGCTGTTTCTGCTACAAGGGCAGCTGTTAGGTGGCAGAAGCACAGCTGGCAACATTCCTCTGCCCTCTTAGCAACACAGAAGCTTCGTATCCGACATCCTGGAGGAGAACATGCCGTCCCCCGGACTGGCCTTTAAATCGGCTGGATTTGAGGGTAGCGAGCACCAGGGGACGGAGGAAGAGTGGGGGGAAGAGGGAGAATTCTGGAGGCGCTTGGCTTCCCTGGGAGCTCTGCCCAGATCCACTGGCCTCAGTCCAGAGCTTCCATTAAGCGGAGGGATCCTATAAATAGCTGCCATCCTGGCCTCTCCATCTTTCCTGAAGGGGCAGGCGCTGCATCGGTCTCTTCGGGGTGTGGCGTGAATTCGGCGTCCCCTCCCTCCTCCCCACAAATGCTCCCTGGTCAGAGGGGCTGCCCCAAAGCCGCCTTCAGGCACTCAGCCTCTCCTCTTTTGCCTCCCACCTCAGTACGGTCTGCAAGCCTCTCTCGCCCAAGCCGAAGGAAGGGGCCCCTCCACCGTTCTCCTCCTCCAGCGGGGTGCTCGGAGCTGGACTTTGCGAACTGGATCGGCTTCTCCAAGAACTGAACGCAACCCAATTCAACATCACCGGTACGGGGTTGGGGGGGTGGGGTGAGGGGGTGGGAGGGCATGGTGCTTTGGATGGTCTTCCACATGCAGAAATGCTGGGCCTCGGAGTAAGTACACATACATACATTTCTGCTGGTAAATAGAATTCACTAGCGCAGATGGCTTTAAAGAAATTGCTCCGGTTATGGAGGAGTTATGGGCCACTAACTTTGAAGTAGAACCTCCATGGACAGAGGCACTTTACCTCTGAGAATTAGATGCTGCAGAACAACCACAGGGGCACTTTTTGGTCCTGCCAACCTCCCTGGAAGCCTCTTTTCCGTATCTTCCCTTGCATTATCAGAAGTGGGCCTCAAGCTGGATTCTGCATCATCCCAAGCCAGAATGTTTGTTGTTTTTGGCTTGGTGTGATGCGTGAACCCAGCCATTGTCATTTGTAAACAGTGATTTATGGCTTGGCGTGTTGTGTGAACCCAGCCCGTTGTGGTTTTTCAATAAACCATAGCTAACCAAATCATGACTTTGAGTGCCAATGTTTGCTGATGTCCAGAAAAGTGATTTTAAAAGGATGAAATCATACATTACAGGTCTATCTTGCCTAGATGGGTGTCCTCCAGATGTGCTGGGCTACAACCCTCATAATTTCTGTCCAGCCTAGGGAAAAAATGGGCCATGAGTTATAGGAGACGTAGTCCAATACAGCTGGAGAACTTCAGGTCTGCGGGAGGGAGCGTCCCCTTCCCCAAGGCCGATTCAGGTCTGGACTAGCTGTGACTCAAGAGAACCTCAGGATAATGTGCCCTCCTTGGTATTTATGTCACCTCTTCCTAGATTTTCCTTCACTCCCCATTATTTTTTTTTATTTAACCATTATATGTATGTTCCGCCTTTCCTTTGATGCTCAAGTTGGTGCAGGTGGGATATCCCCTTCTTTTATCATGAACACAACAACCCTGTGGGGTAGGTTGGGCTGAGAGAGCCGAGTCCAAAGGTATTCAGTAAGCTGCATGGTCAAGTGGGGACTTGAATGGGGTCCTTTCTGCCCCTGTCCAATCTGAACCTAGAGGTTCTCAAACGTTCAGTACAACATAAATGAATCTGGGGGTCCTCAAAGTGCCACGAATAGAAGTGTTGGCTTGGGTGGAAGTCCTGTCAAAGCTGGGTCCGGTCTTGGCTCTTTGCTTTGGGGTCTGGGGTGTTTGGTGCTGGCTGGGGAATTCTGGGAGTTGGTCCACCCATCTTAAAGTGGCCAAGGTTGAAAAACACTGTTGGAAATAGTTGGCATAAAGCACAGCACCCAAGACTGTTCCATTTCCCAGTCAAAGCCTGTTACTTCCAAAGCTGGTCTAATGGTAGAGCTGACGCTCCCAGAGGCAACTGCCCTGTCTATTGAACAGAGTCCCCTCTAGATCAGCATTTCTCAACCTTGGCAACTTTATGATGGGGGGACTCCCATCTTAGGTCCACCCATTGTAACGTTGCCAAGGTTGAGAAACACTGCCCTAGGTCTTTGGGGCTCTCTAGGTACATCTTCCATTTGCAAGCAGATTTGCCCCACACGCTGTGTATATCCCCTGGGGCTTGGCCTTTTCTCGTAATAGAGCATTTATTCCTTCCTCCGTTGGCTTCCTGTGGTGCTTGCATTCCAAAATGAGGCAGGTTTGAGTTAAGAATGAAGTTCCTTTTCTGCCCTGGGTGAAGCTGCCAGATCTCAACACAGCAGGAGGAAGTTGCTTCTCCTTTGAGTGGACCTTGCCCAATTTCCCCTTATGTCTTTTTGACCATGCACTTCGTGTGTGTGTGTGTGTGTCCTCCAAATGTTCTGTCCTTCCTAGAAGTGTGGCAGTGCTGCCCTCTGGTGGCAGGGGTTTGGAATAGCACTCTCATTCTTGGATCTTTTCCCTATCTTGGACTTCTTTTCATCCCCAGATGAAATAATGTCCCAGTTCCCATCCAGCAAAAGTCCTGCTGCAGACAAGGACAAAGAGAGACCGGACGATTCGACAGACGGTACTTCTCTATCCCGGTAAGTGGGTGCTTGTTGGGTTAGGAAAGCAGGTTAATTGCAAATCAAGGCTCTCTTTCCAGAAATAGCTGCATGTCGGTTGTCTGGAGAAGAAAGATTCATAACAGGCATCCCTTTGGTCCCAAAAATCAAAGAGGTGACATCCTTTAGGAGTCTGGCTGGCTGGGGATGATGCGTGTTATCATCCAACGTACTTGAAAAGATACACTGGAGAAGCTGAGATAGAATTTGCCACTATGCCTAAAAAGGTCTGAAAAATATTGTTTTTGATGCACCAGATCTAAATACTAACTAAAATTCTCTATCAGGATAGGTAATTAGTATTCCCATTTTACAGCCTAGAGCAGTGTTTCTCAACCTTGTCCACTATAAGATGGGTGGACTCCAACTCCCAGAATTCCCCAGCCAGCATGCTGGCTGGGGAATTCTG